TTACATGTGATTACAATAAGTTATACTCATTTTCTCGTTGTTTTATTCTTTTTAAAGTGAATGTAAATTAATTGTATTTCTTAACGTTAATATGTATTTTTAATTTTAATTATAAAAATACAAAATTTTTATTAATAAATAAATAATTCGTTGTACAAGTAAACAGAACTTTGATTCTTCGGGAATAAAAAATGAGAATTAAACGAATTAATATATTTTTGTCGATTCATGTGTAAAATTCAAACTCATTTTATTCTTGAGATACTTTACTTTAATCAATGGTTTATTAATAATAAATTATTATTCATAATACCATGGTAATGAACAATTATGTGCTGTCATTCAAATTACTTTAAACCAATGCAATAAAAACGGCGAACACAATGTGTTAATGTTTGACTAATTTTTAAATGTTTTAAGCAAAATATTCTTACAAAACATTAAGAATTATCAAGAATTTGAAAGAATATTTATAAATTGGCAATATTTAGCAAACTGAACACTTTTCGTAATGATTTAATATAAATAATTGATTTAATTGGTTTGCTCATTATATATTTCAACTTATAAAAAGTGTCTGGTGTTGAAAAACACCAAGATTCCACGATTTATAAAATTTAGTCTAAAAAATAAAATTACTAAATGAAATGTTCATGTATAGCAAAAATAGCATTACTATGGATGCAATTTTGCTAATATTTGCTGAGACCTTTCAGCAAATACATCTTGCTTGATCCTATTCATGTACTGTATTCTAAATTATTAGATACTTTACAACAGATGTAATGTTGAATATTAACAAGAATATTACATTCTGTTAAATATTCTATAATCTTATAACATTATGTTGTAATAAATTGTTGTATATGAACTTATATACTGAATTTATTGTTGTATATAATAAATTGCTGCAACTGTCCGTTTCTTATGAAGGCATTGTACATTGTACATTGTACTACGTTCATCAAATAATTTATATATTATTAATAATTTAGTAAATATTATTTAAGTGTCAGTCAAATTGAAATTCAATGCCGAGACTATTGAATCAATGATAGAGAAACATACTTAATATGTATTACATATACCTAAGAATGTACTGTACTTAAGAATGTGACAATCGATTTGAGCCACACATATATACCATTACGTAATTAAACATTTATGTCGTTATTTTCCAAATATTAATTATAACATCTGATTGTCATTTCACTCAAAATCTTTAAATACAATACTTATTATAAATCAATTATATTTTAGCGGAAAAATAAATAAAATTACAATAAAAACATCAATTACTGTGAAAGAGGGGACAAATAGTTGTATAATACAAAGTATGGCATATATTAATGCCTTATGTGTTGAGACTAAATCACCTGATCTCACAATTCAGTGTTTACTCGACTGTATTATCAAATAAACCTAAAACTCTTTAATTTCACTGTTAATATCAAATTTGTTATATAATTACAATTAAAGGTGACTGCGATTACTTCTATGTAACATAAAATGATTTGTTACATATTAAAAGCACGCTGTCTGTATTTGTGTAATTTTTATGTACGTTCATATGTTTATTTTTAACCACTATTCTGATAGGAATAATGTGGTTTATAGGATCGTTCGGCTACCCCCAGAATAACATATCAAAATAACAATAGTGAAAGTATTTCAACAATAGTATTGAAAAATTTAAAATATTTTAATGCATTTCCCGAATAGTGGTTAACGTATAGCATCGCTGTGTGTGAGTTGTTTACTTTATTTGATAACTTAAGAACCATAGTAAGACCATTAAATTACAAGATTAAAACATTTATAAAGTTAAACAATAAATAAAATGTATAAAAATATTGCATATTTTGTGGAATTGTGTAATAATAAATTATAAATAGCACAGTGTAGATAACAAAGTTGCATGAGTGTAAATTGAATAAAATTGTTTGGTTTAATGTAACGTAGTTTATACATTTATGACTTTATGAAATGTGTTACAAATAGAAATAAAAATTTCACTGAAATTTTGAACATTTCATTTAGATTAAATTTTAAAATTTTAGGGCAAATCTTCATATTTTCAACTTGATACTTTTAATATTGTAAAATTAAATATCAAATAATCATTAAACTACTGTAATTACATTGATAATCTAACATGTTCCATTTTATATAATAAAGAAAATCTTTTGGTTCTGTTAAGGAGTTGTGTATAGTATAATGAACTATAGCTGTACATTGACTAACATATACCGAATACAAAACAACTCACACACAGCGATGCTATACGTTAACCACAATTCGGGTAATACGCAAAGAATAGATTTGCATTATTTACAGATTTAATACGAGTCAATAAGATTAGCATTAGTATCCATGAAAACTGTAAACTAAGCATTGTCATAGATTTAGCATTGCCCATAGACTATACATTGTCCATAGACTTAGCATTGCCCATAGAGATAACATTGCCCGTAGGATTAGCATTACACATAGACTTAGCATTGCCCATTGAATTAGTATTAGTTTCATAAATTTAACATTATCCATAGGCTTAGCATTGTTCATAGGATTAGCATTAGTCCCATATATTTAACATTACCGATAGACTTAGTATTGCATATGTTAATCTTATGTCATAGACTTAAAATTACCTATGTTAAAATATAGCCATAGACTCAGGCCAAATGCATTATTGATATTATGTAATAGTGATGGTTGTGTCACAACTTGTGTGGAATTAATATTGATTGTGAAAATATATAGATTTGAGTGTAGTTTTGTAATGCATTGAATTGACGCACAAATACTGTAGACTACTATTGGTATTGATATTGAATTGAATGTATTATTGAGTAAATACTATATAATTGTTATAATTATAAACAATACATATCTTAACCGTAATCTAAATTGTTTGCAATTGTTTGATGTAATCAATGGTTTGTAAGTGAATGGATTGTATGGCGTATGGCGTGAATGGTATACACTATACACATATTGATAGTGAATACTATATACAGTATAAGGTTGTATACAACTTGTATGGACACAATTGAATACAATTGTATGAATATATGGTTATATTGTTTGGCATCAATTGATTGAGCAGTGAATGAGTGAATGAATGGGCAAATAGTGTAATCAAAGTGCCATTACTTATGCTTAAAGCGCTGAGAAAGCACTTAAAGGCCTCTCAAAAGTAAGTCCACATTAATTGTTTGCATTCATATCAATATCAATATACATATCATGTATATTACTCTTATATGTTATATAATGTACTTTTTATAGTGTACTGTAGAGTAGTGTAGAGTAGACTATGTATGGGATAGTATGTAATGGCGATTATTTGATTACAGGAGCACTTCGTTTATGCAATACATGAAGATTAATAGGAAAGAGGAACAATTGGATCAGTTGGACAACAATTGGATTAACTTCAGAAATATCGATGATTTGGCCAATGATTTGGTCGAACATAACGTTTATGGCAAAGGCTTTGACTTAATTAATACCAATAATATAAGTAATTGTAATGAAAACTATTATTGCAATTATAAACACGAGAGACAAACACATGAGAAGAAGAGAATTGAATGTGAGATCAAAGATGAGACCAAAATCAAAGACGTGGAAGCGATTCAACTCAATCGCCAACACTTGCATGCATTGCATCGCTTCAGAAGACATAAGAAAAGAGGTAATGATTTAATAGATTAACGAATGATATTCTAATGGATTGAATGGATTAACAGGTATATCATGTGAGAAGGATGTGGTGATTAGTTTTGTACCCAAGACTCGAGTATCGATTGTAAATAAACGCGATTTTTACTATCGTTTTGGCAAAGAAGAAGAGGAAGCGATGGCTTGTTTTGATTTTTTGAATCATATTCAATGTGATAACCATTGTATTGATTGCAATGAATCGGACTCTAGTGATGGGTCGCCGTGTCCTTCATGTCCTTCGTGGCCGAGCATTGATTTGAGAGGTGATAGCGATGTGGAGGTGATATCTGAGGACAGAAATAGTCAATTGTCTTTAAGTGATTCTTGTGTTGAATATTATGATTCTAGTGATTAATAACATACAGTATATTCATATATAAATATATATCTATATATATTTCTAAATAACCAAAACTTTGTGGCATTTGTTGATAATTAAGAGTCTATCAAATAATTATTTAATATAACCCAAGAAACTAAACATTATTATTATTTCATATAAATATCGAATTAGCATTCATTCCAACTTTAATTATTTTAATATACCTTTTGTCTGACATATAATTGTATGCAATACTTGTCAATACTTGTAAATGGGGTGCAATTACATCCACATCTAATTGCATACGATTTTGAAAAACACTGTTTTACTGATAGACTTATTATTGCATACAATTATGTCAGAGAAAAAGGTATAAATATTTATTTGATTTTAATTTAAAAACATTTCTTTTTATAACTTAATTATAAACATAATTATTTCATTGATTTATTGGGAAATAAATACAAAACCTATATTTCGATCAGAAATACAATTGTTATATAAATAATAATTATTTCATAAAATGTAAAAATGAGATTTGATTATCACATGAAATAAAGCTTAAATTATTTGTCAAATCAAAGATCCCTTTCTTCATAAGAGTTTCTGTTTTGAATTCTTTGTCTTTTAATTCTGGAAAGTATTTCGTAAGCGTTTTGTATTTCAATAAACATTTCCTGTGCCTTAATCTTGTGGTTCGGGTCCTGATGTTTGTCCGGATGCCACTGACGGGACAGTCGTCTATACGTTCCCGTAATCTCTTCCTGAGTGGCACTCGACGTCAGATTCAATACCTTTAGAGCATTGGTCTCTCCCTGAGGGTCGAGTGCGGCCACCACTTCCCTCCACAGACCACTCCAGCCGTGAATCTTGATATACATCTTGAGTTCATTGAAAACTTTTGTGCATTCCTTCCAAATGGGAGACTTCAAGAAGTTCTTCGCCGCGTCTCTACACTTCACTTCCTCCTCATTCTTGTCCACAACTGAACAGTTATAGTAAAACCAAGAACTCCAGAGCGAGAGGTATATCATTGAACAGATCATAAGTGTTGATATTCGCCGACAAAGGCCTCTGCTTTTGGGTGGAGTTCTTCGCCATTGTTTAGAGTAGTTGTTGAAGAAGTAGTTCGAAGACAATGACGTCCAGAAGACAACATTTGGACTAAACAAGTATAAAGGACTCGTCAAGTATGAGCCAATCAGTGCCCACTTGAGTGCCCCCGACTGACGGCCGACATTACCGACGGCGTGAACACCTATGGCGACGGCCAGAGGCGCTATCGATGCCATCAAAAGTGCTAATAACATGCTTTCCTTTGGGAACAATTCAACGGGTATTGAACTGACGGCCAGATATCCTAAGATGTCAGCGATTATGATAGTGGCAGACGTCCTGATATAACCTGTCGGCGGTTTCGCCTCTTTGCGCATCCGTTCCGATAGTGTTTGCAGATATTGTGGATCATTGTTGGCGTCCTTCACATACTCGGGAATCCTCCAGAGGTCGCGAATCCAACCGCAACCGAAATATCCGCCGAAAGTCATCCACATTAAGAAGCAATGTCCGATAGTGTTTGCAGATATTGTGGATCATTGTTGGCGTCCTTCACATACTCGGGAATCCTCCAGAGGTCGCGAATCCAACCGCAACCGAAATATCCGCCGAAAGTCATCCACATTAAGAAGCAATGCGTGTCTCGTCTCAGGTAGAAGTGATGCCAACCAAACGCACCGAACAATAGCCATAACAAGTATGTAATGCATAAACTCTTTGCCATTGATTACAAGCAAGTGATTGATTACCAAATCATTTACAACTCAATTAGATGTGAATTACACGTGTATTGCAAACACTTTCCCAACAAAAAAACTAATTAATTATTTATTAATCCATTCATTGTATGCTTTTATGCTTTCAATACATTTAATAATTAGTTAACAACTGTTTCGATGACTTATAAAACAAATTAATAAAACTATAGAAACGTATAATAAGTAATACAATAATTGTTACCACATTTATAACATACACAACATTTACAACTGCTTTCTCATACAATACATACCTGTTATGAAATTCACTTAACATTGCAATCATTGCAAGACTACCTGTATTTGATTTAATGAACAAACGCTTATTCACTGTACAGTCGGTTCAATATATAGTGAAATGTCTAAAACTAAAACTAATACAAGTGTTTGAATTAGTGTTGTTATTGTGTTAATAAAGTACAAAGTACTGCATTAGTACTGCATTACTAGAACTGAAAGTATAGGTGAATAAAAACATCCAAAACCAGAAGTAAGCTGGTCAACTACACAACCCACGGCAATTACATTTTTATTGAAATCTCACACAATAAATATGTATTTAAAATTTAAATTAAAACAACTCACACACGGAATATATATTTGAGATAGAATATTTTTAACATAGAATTTGGAACCAGCGTTAGATTCTACATCAAACCCATTTATCATATCAATAAATTCAGTAGTCGTAGATAGAGCTTAGACACCTTAAATAGATATAAATTAGGCACAACACATAAATATGATACAAATTATACCATATATATGGAAAACAATGGGGGGCGCGGCTTAAGGCTTCAACATAGTCCGATAGTGTTTGCAGATATTGTGGATCATTGTTGGCGTCCTTCACATACTCGGGAATCCTCCAGAGGTCGCGAATCCAACCGCAACCGAAATATCCGCCGAAAGTCATCCACATTAAGAAGCAATGAGTGTCTCGTCTCAGGTAGAAGTGATGCCAACCAAACGCACCGAACAATAGCCATAACAAGTATGTAATGCATAAACTCTTTGCCATTGATTACAAGCAATTGCTTAAGTGATTGATTACCAAATCATTTACAACTCAATTATATGTGAATTACACGTGTATTGCAAACACTTTCCCAACAAAAAAAGTAATTAATTATTTATGAATCCATTCATTGTATGCTTTTATGCTTTCAATACATTTAATAATTAGTTAACAACTGTTTCGATGACTTATAAAACAAATTAATAAAACTATAGAAACGAATAATAAGTAATACAATAATTGTTACCACATTTATAACATACACAACATTTACAACTGCTTTCTCATACAATACATACCTGTTATTCATATCAAATTCACTTAACATTGCAATCATTGCAATACTACCTGTATTTGATTTAATGAACAAACGCTTATTCACTGTACAGTAGGTTCAATATATAGTGAAATGTCTAAAACTAAAACTAATACAAGTGTTTGAATTAGTGTTGTTATTGTGTTAACTTCATGTTAGATAGATTTTTATAAAGTACAAAGTACTGCATTACTAGAACTGAAATTCTAGGTGAATAAAACATCCAAAACCAGAAGTAAGCTGGTCAACTACACAACAATTCGGGAATTACATTTTTATTGAATTCTCACACAATAAATATGTATTTAAAATTTAAATTAAAACAACTCACACACGCATACGTTAACCACAATTTGGGTATTGCACAAGCAATAAATTAGCATTGCCATAGGATTAGCATTAGTACCATAACCCTAACATTACTTATAGACTTAGCATTACTCATAAACCTAGCATTGTCCGTAGGATTAGCATTAGTGACATAAACCTAGCATTGTCCATAGACTTAGCATTACCCATGTTAAAGTATA